AAGCTATTGGTTCAGGAGTGTTTGATTAAATAAGTTTATATACATTTTAAGCATTATGTCATTATGTTGCTCTTGCTACTAAACTGACCAAAGCGCCAGCAGAGAGAAGTTGCTTCAGAAATACGCTGACTCTTCTTGTTCAGCTCAGGAATACAAACAATTTGCTTTGAAATGCTTCATCTGAATTAACCTTCCTCTCCTTCATCTGTGCAAAGTGTGTGCTGCGCTTGGCACTAAAATACACAAATGAGCAAAGCAAAGATTTCACTTATTCATTAACTAAAGGCTTCTGTCTCTCTGGCTCAGTCTCTTAGCCATCTCTCTCTCTCTCTCTCTCACCAAAATAACTTATTAACATATTTGTAGCTATTTCTAATATTTCAGCAGACCGTTCTATTGCTATATCTAAAAATATTCAGAGAAACAAATGTGATGGAGAGACAATATAATCAGAATGTTCATTTCCTGGTTTGTAACACTGGGTCCTCAAACATCGTGACTATGACGACACACACACACACACACACACCCGTGACTATGACGACACACACACACGCACACTGTCACCAGTTAATGTTCAACTCCAGTCAACAGCTGACATTTGAAGACAGCTGCACACATCCATATTCACCTGGACACAGTGTTCAGCTGCTCTTAAACTATTGCCAACTTCATCTCCACACAGCTCAGTCTACTATGTCATCCCTCATGATTTTTTGGACATGGCAGCCAGCACCTACCTTCCTGCTACTAGTGAATCATCTCCAAAAACCTTTAAGTGAATTTCTAAATTGGTATTTTTTTGGATAGACTGACCACATAATTGAAAACTAGATTATTTTCTTGTCTGGAAAAAAAAGAACCTTAAAGTGACATAATACCAGTCCTAGGATGAAAATTATAACGACTTTGAAACCTTGAGCCAGCTGCAATCGCCTTTACTAGGCAGCATGGATGTATTAGCTCCCACAGCATCCTTTAAATTAATGGGCTCCATCTTTCAATCTGGTATCCAGCTCTGATAATGCATCAATGTCAATCCAGGAAAACTAATCGATACCAAATGAGCAGCCAATCATATAACTGGGTCTGCCAGTCAGGAAATAAAAGCCAACACTGGAAAATGACATTTTGAAATAAAAACTGCTTGAACTAAATGAACGGGATCTGTAATAAAGTGTTACTGTTAAAGCAAGCATGATGAAATATTTAATAATAATAATACTAATAAGCAGATTTTAAAGCATAATGAAAATGATTTGAGCTGCATTTTAAAAGTGTCTGTTTATTCAAATAAGTTATTTCATGTCTTATTTCATTATGAACATTGTGGAGCTCCCCAGTCTCCAAGTCAGTAGGCCTATACTAAGTTGTTCTTGATCTTCTACATCAGTGTTTAAGGAAAAAGAGCTACACCGAGCTGTGGAAACCAGCCTCCATGACCATCATCCACCCAGACCGACGCGCCCTCTAGTTTGATTCGACTTGGTAAAACAGAGCAGCCGATCGAATCGATCGAAGACGCCGCTTCTCTACAAACAGGTGCTGTTGTGGACTAAATTATAGCTCTACCCGTGGTGTCGATATTTTGAATTAACCTGTAACAAACTGCCCTTAGCTAACACTTCAAAACGGTGAACTTGAGATCGTGTCGTGATCTCACACCACCTCTGGGACCTAGAAATCACCGTAGGGCCTCCTCATACTGCTTACTACTTCTACAGACCTGTCTTCTGAGTCCATCCGACTGAGCGGCTCTCCATCCGACGAGGTCATTTCCACGCTGGCCCGTCTCTTGGTGCCGTGCTCGGCTTTCTCCGAGGTCTTAGCGCGCTCGGTAGGCAATGTGGAGGACACGTTCACCCCCTCTCTTTGTTCTTGTTTAGGCACCCGGGAGCCCTCTTGTCCGGAATCTGTGCTACTCGCCAAACTCCCCTGTACGGGACTTTTCCCTGGGTCACAGAGATTACCACCGAGTTCCCTTTCACTGTTGTTCGTTTTTTCACTCGGTGAAGCAGCTTCTTTGTCGGCGTCGGGAGGAAGAGACGGTCGGTGCCCA